GATCCGAGCGAGTGGCAAAAACCTCAACAGCATCAAGCACCCTGGAATTAATTGCCATACTGCATGATTTATTCTGGATGCTTTTGGATCAATACTACTCACGAATGGCGTTATATACGTCGTCCACTGAATAATCTAATTTTCAAAAATAATCCAGGCGAGTTCAACTAGTTTACTGGGTGATTTTTTTGTACTTAACATGTATATGTTTTTCAGTTGCTTTTGCCATATTTTTATAAGTGTCACTAAGCTAAATGCAATAACTTCTTATGGAAGGTTTATAACGCGTCATATTCCTGCCTGAAGTTTCACAAGCAGTCTTAACTTTGAATTTATTTATCTGGTCATGTTCATTATTTTTAAATTGTCATATACGTCAGCAACCTGCTTGTTAACCTGGCCCGCACATACACTATACCTTCATATCTTTTGAATTTAGAAATCATCTTAATCGCCTTTAACATTTATCAATAAACCCATCATAGTCGTTGTTGCTAATCGTATTTGGGTTTATGGATTGGTTTATCATATTAGCAGCCTAAAATGCGAACATAGTTTAGATAATAAGATTAAAAATTTAAGTACTATCAACTGCACTAGTAAAATAACTAAATCCCTAGGTAGCTGTTGGCTAAACAAACGTTTAAAATCAAAACTCCGTAGCCTACTAAAATTAACACTAAACGAATATTTATGAATTGAAATTTATAATTAAATCAGACGTCTCGGATTCTTTAACGTTATAAGTTTTTGATGATTTCGAATCACCTAAAGCAACAATACCTATTTTTCCACTGACTAATCCTCAGTCAACACTATAACTAGTTAAATTTAATAGTTTCAGGATATCGTCATAAAGCATTGTCATAACTTGACAATCACGTAATATGACTGATAAAATTAATGAAACTATTAACGAAATCGGTCAACAAAGTGACCTACAATTACCATTAAATGGTGTTGTTTTCTTGGTATCTTCATCCATCACAGATGATTACAGTATGTTTTTCTATCAGTTACTCATTAAGTAAATATCTCAAAACCTTGTCAGTCTAATTGATGGTTTAGCGACACAATCATGCATGCAAATAATCAGTATAAGCAGTCGAGCAAATCTCCTGCAAACTGAAAACATCAATGTCGAATTTACCCCAACACTGACTAAGGTTCAAGCCATTATCATAGACATGAGTTGGGAGTGTACTCCCCTTGGTTACAACTTATGTTCTCCCTGATAATCACATGAGCATCACTCACTGGTAATTATCTTGTAAAAACTTATTTAGCTAAATACATCTTGCAGCACCACATCACTTCGTAATATGACCCATAGGCTTAACTGATTTTAATAACTTATAACCACTATATCTCAAGTAAATCGTATTCCGCCTTATAATAAACTGCATACTTGCAACTAACTTGTATGCCCAATTAGCTGGCAAGTATAAATATAAATAAATAGTCTGCCACAGATCAGAACATTGAGTCTAGAGCATGTCTCTTACGAATACACTCATGTTTAACGATTTGTTCCTAGCTATCTGTTCAAAATTCATATAATTATCACTCATGTATTTAAATTTTATTTTGATAACCATTCATGTGTATTAGTAGTATTACTAAATTCTATCACGGTCAAGTAAAAATGAGGTTGAGAAAATCTCCCCGTAACCAAATAAACCGTATCAAACTAACTGGAACACTAGTTGGAAATCTCCACGGTAATATTTTTGTTCATTCAGTTAGCCTACTAATACATATGCAGTTGGAAATCAACTCATATGGACAACTTACCGGCATAATCGTTATTTGATTTCATGATTTAAACCAAAACTAATGCCCATATTAATATTTCTACAACATTCATTACTTTAATACTTCTAAACACAAAATACTTACTACCTATACGTTAAGTTATTAACCAACGGCTATTAACACGCATCGTTTTATTATTATTATTATTATTATTATTATTATTATATTATTATTATTGTAACCCCATTTTTTATAGCCCAAATAATCTTCACCCAAATTTTCATTTCAAGCATGTTAAGCATGAAGGCAGATATTTTAAAATTATTACATGTATTTCCCGACCAGATGCTGCCGCTTTCTTTTTGATTTATCTTTCAGCTTACCAATACCCGGAGGATTCTTATTATCCTTGGTAACCTCCGGCGCGCGACGATCCCATCCAATTTGGTATCGAACCAACATCACGTTGATTCTGGTGGGAGAGTAGTGTAGGGCATTGGACCATAACTACACAATCTTCAAAGCTGAACACAAGACTACTCAGAAAATAGATATTCAATATTTAACACGGAGAAATACCTAACAATGGAGAAGGCGCGAACAATGAATTGAATGGACTGGGTTTGATCGTTTGGCATGGCTCGGTCATGCAGGCGTGGTCCATCTCAATGTTACTTTATATCTTCTATTCATATTAAATATATTGTTCTTTCTCTAGCCTAACCTTGTTCTAGATCATGTATTGGTAATTGATACGATACAGTGAGTCGGTGTAGTCGATGGTGTGACTTCCACGTAAGATCTTATAGATTAGGCAGTTATATCATGACAAATCTACAAATTTAGGATTAGGTCTATTATTAGAGCAGTACTAATATAATGGTAGACCATAATTCTACACCGACATTGGAGACACTGCGGCTCAACTCGTTTATTGATCGACACTTCGACTCCCAGGATAATTCGCGGATCCTTCATCCTCTTCAATGAACATGGACCTAACCTCCTATACGAACAGGCTCATAAATGCAATGTGTTCAGTTAAACCTGCTTCCACTCGACCTCAATCAACTGATGTTTTCGTTCAACCTGACTTACGATATAGTACAAACACTTTCGTTCGTCGTGATTCGCATCGACAACCTTTCGAATCAGCATACAAAAAAAATTTTGTTCACGTCGATTTCCCTCCTGTACAATCGAACGACACGACTCCGACACTTATGATGCCTGATCCGAGAACCAACACACACGATGATACTTCGACAGTATCTGAAAATATACTTAAAACAACGCGTTCTGGAAGAAGTGTAAGATTTCCAGAACATTTGAGCGATTATTGCACGTAAGATACTAGTTGACATTTTATATCATCTCGATTTTTCTTTGTACTGTATGCAATATAAAAAACCAATTCCAATATGCTTATACATTTATATTTTTATTCCAAAATGAAACAAAAAACCCATTTTGTCAAAATCCTTTTAAAGTTATTACATGTGCATGAGTTTGTTTTCCCTTTTTCGTCCGCTTTGTGTTTTTACGCACGTACGAGCGTATTTTGACATGCACTTAGATATTTCCTTCTTAACCAGGACGGCTGGAAAAGACGATAGAAAGAACAATGAGGTTTACGATGAACGGAAATTTTCTTTGTATTTTTTCTTTTTTTACTATATTGTACTATGTGGTCCTTTATATTAAGAAAAGACGACCAGACGCTACTAAACCTAGTGAGCTATTAGAAGAGTGTCTACCAACGGCAAACTCGTTGGGTTTAAACTTCTGGCTGGCCACGTCCTAGGGTCATCACTATCCCTATTAGAGGGGGGGGGTGATTTGTAGCAGGAAATAAATCCCCGAAATTACTAGCTCTGTAAGTCTTCGGCATTGGATGCTGACCACATTAGTTATTATTATTATTGTTATTATTATTATTAGCTTTATTCAATATTATAATTTTGGTACAATATAGAATTCTCAGCGCAAAGTATTTCAACAAGTTTCCGTTTCTTTCTTCTTGATCGGTCCTGGCGATAAATATTGAGGAATCGCCAGTTAGATGTTAGCACTTCAGTGAATGAACAACTGAATAATGTACATTCTTTTCGTTGTACATTGCCAGCAACCATATTGTCTCTTATTGAGTTTTCTGTAACTTTGACAACGAAAGGTTGTACACTCACCTAAGTGTGATTCATTGCTGAGACGTGAGATTTGTTTATTAGCGTGAAGGTTAAGACGCCACAGGTATTTGAAGTTTGACACCGCTTAAACCAGTAACAACTAATATGAATCGTGCTCACCAAGTGAAATCAAAAGACAGAAGCGAGGAAGTTCGAAGATATATTTGATAGGCTATCAATATATCGAGGATCGTTTCATCTAATCTGGCTAGCGATTGCAGGGGTTGTCGGGCATGGTGTTTCCACTCGTGATCTGGTGTGGATGCATGACCGAGCGCCTTCAGCTAGGTGAGTCCATTGAAACTAATGTGGTCAGCATCCAATGTCGAAGACTTACATAGCTATTTATTTTGGGGATTTATTTACTGCTACATCAGGAACAACCTCCAACTTCCCTCATTATCATATCATTTTCACTTCTTATTCTTTTGATTACTTCTCAAACTGTCTGCATTGCCAACCAGTAGACCTATTAACCTAATCTTGAAACTGTGGTCTTCTCTTAGCACTCGACTTGTCACTTCATTATTGTCACATTGCAATCAACCAAACTACTGCCTGGAAACTTGATAGTTGTTGGTATCCGGGATCTCTACTGTCCCGAGACAAACACACTCACTAAAAATACAGGATACACAAATCCACAAATAACTACGAAACCGACTAGAATTAGTGTAGTCGAGTGACTAGACTACCATTCATTCGACAATACCAAACATCTGAAACCATACCGTAACAACAAGTAGCGAGCGCAAATAGTTATTCGGTTTATACAAGCTCACACTGAATATATTGGGGATATATTGGAGGTAGCACGTATTAAACAAAATGAAGGTCAACTTGGCTATTACAGTGTTCCAATGAAAACTGAACTTTTTTAGGCGGCAATTATGTGCCATGTTTGAGTGAGTCGAGAAAGTTGGATGGGGTGCAAGACAGCATTCTATTTAACTATGAACTTTCTCTGACAATGATGTTTAAAAATTACTGGACATAGGACTTGTTTAGTGCATCCTTGTTTCCCAGTGAAAGCTTTTTCGACAACATTATTGAAGACCGATGAATGATTTAAGCTGCAACAGTATTTGTCAGCTATTGTGTTGTCCTCCATTACCATCTAAAATTGCAGCTAAGTTGGCATTTATGCCTCCATCTCCCAGTTATAAACTGACGGAGCATGCTGAAGGAGGGCATACTACATACAGCTTTACTCTGGCTTCATACTTGAAGGATTCATTTATCCATTTTGTCCCAGAAAACATGGAATCAATGAAGGCTACAACAAAAAGAGGCAATAATATTGCGATTCTTTATATGCCCATAAATTCGTCATCTAAGCTAACTTTCTTGTTAAGCCATGGGAATGCTGTGGACTTGGGTCTGATGCTTCACTTCATGTATGAACTGGGGAGCAAGTTGAACGTTAACATCATGTGTTACGATTATTCAGGCTATGGAGTGTCTTCTGGAAAGCCTTTGGAAAAAAACCTTTATGCTGATGCTGAGTGTGCGCTAAATGTTTTAAGAACGAAGTATTCTATCCCTTTAAACCAAATTGTTTTGTACGGTCAGAGCATTGGAACTGTGCCGACAATACATTTGGCTACTCTTCATCGAGTTGCTGCTGTCGTACTACATTCGCCACTGATGTCCGGGTTAAGGGTAGCTTTCCCGAGGCTGAAGCGCAATTACTGTTGTGATGTCTTCTCTAAGTAAGTTTTAGTTCGTCTTGAAGATACCGTATTTTCTAACCTGTTGTTTCCTTGTCTGTTTTTCTCTCGAAAGGCAGGAGTATCTTATGTAGTCTCTCAAAAATGGCTGTTGGTGTTTTTGATGTAGAGTATTGGGTAATTAAGTCGAACTAGTTGAAGTTGTTATTGCTAGTTTACTATATTAGTTAGGTCATGTGCTACACTTTTTTGGCCGCTAAATTTCTTGATATACAGTACTGTATGGTGTGAAGCGGCTTAAAGACAACCAGGAATGGTCAGTGAAATAGACTGCCAGTCACTAACTATTGGTCTGGATCGTGTAAAATGGTTTAGGCCACCAAACGATCAGTGTGTAGAATAGTTAAGTACTTCAGTTGGTACCGTTCAAGGTCAGCCACACTTCGTTTTTTATGTTTCAGACTCATTCAGTTCGTTTATCCCTATAGCTGTGAAGTAAGAGGTATTGAGAGGTTCAAACCACCAACGTATGTTAAGAGAAACTTGTGGTATGATGCTCCTTGTTAAAATTCTTACTTTGTTAAGTTAACCGTGTTTGTTGCCAGTAGACGGTCATCTTAGATTATGTAGGCGCCAGAACATCTTTGTCAACATTTAATGACTGATCGTAGGTGGTCTAATATATTGGGCTCAGCAACCAACCAGTACTTGCCATTTTCTGGAAAACAAAATTGTCTTACCCAGTTGGTTATGAGTATTAATTAATTCAGATTACTACATATTTTTGAAAAGCATATGGAAAGGGGACGAAAATTAAAAGTTGTAATAAACAAACCAAGGCAGATATAACTGCACATATACCTTTCCAGGTGTTTAATTTCATTTGTAAAGTTTAACATGCTTCCCGTTGTTTCATAAACTATGACTGCGTTTTCAAATGAAGTCACTAATCTGGTCATGAAATTTGTACGGTAGGTGCTACTGTGACCAAGTATGTCCTTGGGTCACCATCTCTATGTATATTGAGTGGTCCCCGTGCATGTTGTCAGCTTTGATAACCTAAAAGCTATCTCAGTTCTTTGGTTCCTCAGGAACCTTCTTGAGTCTTTGTTGGTCAGTTCTAATGTGGCTGAATCAAATAGAAATAACTTTGTGTTTGTTGTGGGCGTAATGACAATCTACTACAGTTTATTGGGGGGGGGGATAAATTATCTGTAGGAAGTCAAAATCAGCTCATTAATAATCGTGATATTTACAATATTTTTATGTCGCTAATTTGGAATAATTTTCCCTTCGTTTACTGGGGGTCAGTGAACTGTTATATTAGTTTATCACATTTCAATCTTTATTATTAGAGAATCTCAGTTTGTTTTTTGTCTTGACATTTTCTTCGTTTATTAAACATGATTGCTGCCTTCTGCGTGGACTCAGTCTTGCACGCACACCGAAAATTATCTCACCTACATTAGTAATTCATGGGACGCGTGATGAGGTTGTGAACGTTACTCATGGTTACCGTATATGCTCTGCTGTAGCAGGTCATCTATTGTTGGATCCTCTTTTCATTGATGGAGCCGGACATAATGATTGCGAACTTTTCCCTCAGTATCTTTTGCGCTTAACTAAGTTGGTTACTGTGGAATTACCTCGATTACTGTCGAATCCTAATTCACAGAATGTTACTGAAGTGGAAGATATGGAAGTAGAGTCGTCTAAACTACTGGAAAAAGGAACAGTTAAAGAGGATTGTCAGGCAGATTTATCTAGTTCTAACTCTATACCGGTTTCGTTAAATTCTCATGGGTATTTTAGTATGAATGGCAACACAGTAGGAGGAGAGGAAGACAAATCAACAAAGGTTTTTTTCTCACAGCCGTCCTGGAATGTAACCTCAGACTCAATATCTAGCAGGCTCAGTGTAAGTAACGTCTGCGAACAGATACCACCTGATGAGATCGTTCATCCTCCTCAACAAACCAGTCCAACACCATCATTATCATCTCAAAAATGCTTTAAGTCCGTTGATGATACTAGCGCCTGTCTGATTGATGTTAGTAGACGCCTCAATGATTCTGATGTGCAAAAAGGAAGCCAGATTGTTGTGAAAAAATGCACGGACCAGAATGAAGCTGTAGTTTCCCAGTTTTCGGTAGTTACACCTGATTGTCTGTCTAGCATTTCACTTGATGATTTGCATTCGCTTCCATCTGACGTTTGTGACCTTACTCTTCCTCCACCTCCTCCACCACCTACGAATGGTGATTCAGATTTTTTCCAATCATCTAAATTATTATGGTCCTTACATACTCAGAAGAACGGAAAAATAAATACTTTGCCTCGGAAGTTGACATCAAAGTTTTTGGAAACTGAGATTGATCAAGGTCATTCACAAATGCCAAAAAAGGTATGGACTTTACCACGCGAATTTTCCTCTGAAAAAATAACACAAATTCTTAACAAAAAACTTCTGGAAAATATGGTGGGTAAATTTGAATCCACATCCACATCTGATATTTCTGATCCAGTGCTAACTGAACAGTGTTCTGCAAGAGATTCACATGAATGTAGATCCACAATAACCTCAAAATTTTCTAACTCTGTGACACTTACATAGGATCGATCACTATATTTCAATGTATTTAACTGTTATTCGTTTCTGTTGGGTTCCATTTTTGTGAATTTACTGAAGTGGCATCGCATTTGTGCTTTCGTTTTGTTTCCAAAGTCATAATACCGGTAATTTGTAACACATGGTTTGAATGTATTTATTATTATTACTTTCCATGTAGTATGCTGATGTATTCTTCTTGTTTATGTTCTACTGAATTCTCTTTATCATCTTTAGGTTACTTATATTATGCGCTTGTAAAATTGCCATGTATCAAATTTTTAAAAAAAACATAATTTCATATACTTTATTTCAAATTAAAAAGTTTTTATATCTTTCACAATCGTTAAATGGATAAAACAACTAATGTGAATATTTTTTTATGTATATAATCAATTATTTAATTCATTCAGAATTGCTAACAATAGGTAAAAGAAAATTGATGTATTCTCAATGTTATCACTTCGATTTAACGAATAATAATTGTCATATGCCCAATTTTAAAGAATATCTCAATGCTTCTATAAGTATTGCTTATAAATTACTGATTTTATTTAACAAAATATATCTGTAAGCTCACGTTATTCTTGTTATTTCACTATTTTATATATAACACTGTCGTTTTTGCATGATTCCTTGTTGCGTTCTCAAGACGTATTATAATAACATATGGAACTATTCTCATAAGAAATTGACTTCATGTATTCGAGGTAAACTTACGATAAGTCAGTGACTTGACAATCTTGAAAGAGTTCAATTATTCAGCTTTTTAACGAGCAAGTATTGACATTACGGTTATGTTATGTATTATTCGAATAGCTACAATACTACCATGGTGGTATTCACTTTTAAAAAAGTAAGCTTCAATTTGCTCATCACTATTGTGTGATGTGTATTTTATTTTGACCATAGTGTTAAGTAATGTTCATTTAATGATAATTCACTGGAAGTACTTGGTTTTATTTAATTTCATCTTGACTTATGTCATCCACCAGACGACTCTCCTTTTTCTCAACTACTGTTATTTCGTACGTTATATTTAAAAATAAGTAAAACTAAATATTGATCATATCCTTGAATTTATTTGATGATTAGCTATGTACGTGCTCCTCGGATCATTTCACCAACATTGATTATTCATGGCACTGAAGATGAAATAATCGATCGAGTCCATGCCCAGCAGTTGTACGAACGTATTCCTCATACTTTGGAACCACTGTTTATTCGTGGAGCTGGTCATAATGATTGTGAACTGTATGAAGAATATCTTATCCGCTTAGAATACTTAGTGCATGTTGAAGTGGATGGCCCCGGTGTACTAAATCTTTCCCAAGAATCGAATTCAACTAATAGGAATATACGGTTCAGTAATGGACTATTAAAATATTTTTGCCGGAATCGCAAATCTTCTGAAAATAATTCGAAACAAATCTCATCAATCCAAATTTCAAGGAAATCCAAATCACCAAAAGACGAATCACACAAACAGTCTGATGTATGTATACCTGATGCATCTAATCATTGTCATGAGAAAACACTGGCTTCAATCACTCCTATGTGGATGCGAAAACGAGGACTTCATGGTTCATATAGATATGTCAGCAACTCTAGAACTGATAAGCGTAGATGTAAACGAATTCATTCCTTATCCGTTAACCCACTGAGTAAGCCATCTGATCAGTTTGAGGCTAGTGTAATTCCAGAAAGAACTGATATCAAGCTGGAGTATGTGGATCATGGTGGTTCACTCAACGAGTTGGATAATAAGACATCGAAACTAATAACGAATATATAAAATAGTAGCTGCTATGTTCGTCTCTTCAGATCCTTTTTTTTCCAAGAGAAACTATTTGAAATGTCTTCCGGTCTCACTGATTCGAAAATGTAATATTGTAATAGGTAAAAACTTTTCCACTGAATCTAGGATTTTCCTTAAAAAAAAGCTCAGCAATTACCTACCACTACATCTTAAGTGTACATAATTTTGCTTTTGACGTTAGATTTTGTTTTAATGTTTCCTATTTCATAATGAAATGGCATTATTTTCATAATTGTATATACATATTCAATAGTGTGAATTTCTATAAATATGCGTTTAATACTATTAGATTGTTTCAGTTAATTAAAGTTGTATCAAAGTACATGACAATTTAATTTTATGAAAGTAGTATTTACGTACTGCTTTTCATTCAGCTTATTTTCAAAAATAACAGTTTACGAGAAGTTTCCTGATTAGTATGTTTTGTCTTCTTTCATACATCCCACTAACTTCGTTATGTTCGTCACACAACAAGTCATACAATGCTCGTACACCTTCATCCAGAATCTTGGATGAATGTTCACAAGCATCTTTTGTTGTTTTAAACTTAGCGCAAGTGATTATACAAGTAAATATACTCACAACACATTGAAAGTGGTAGTTCACAACATATGGATAACCATGAGGCTGATGGTTAACTAGGTAACTGATTGTAATTTATGATGGATAAAGTATGTCGCAACGATTAATAAGTATAAAGATAGCTTACAAGCAGAATTGCATAATAATATGATAAGAAGATTGTTTGATTAATGTTCATTAGGAATATACAAGCTAATGATGCAGTAAATGGCTACCTATCTTTTCTCTCTTACTCTTTAAAATAGTAAGTTAACATTACTTTCTGAAGTATCTGTTTCTTTTAGTTTTTTCTCATGTACTTCATGTTAGAGTAAACTAATAGACCAGATTGAATCTAAAAGAAAGTCTCCTATCCTAAATGCTGCAGTTCAAGTAATTGATAATATTGTTTATTCACTTATACGCGTTATAGCTTTATGAACCTGAAGCCAATCTTTTCCTACAAAGTTGAGAAATATCCTTCAACTTGGGATCACCACCAACACTTGATAGTCAGAACAATAAGATCTGTTAGTTCTCTCTAGGTGTATTCTTCTGATGTTTTGTTTTCAAAAATCATCAATCAGCGCACTAATACTTCATGTCCTAGGTACAGGTTAGCGGTACGAAAGGATTATACTAGATGTGAAACCTAATTTTTTGTAATCGGAGGTGGTTATGTTGTCTTGTGATATTCTCATATTTCTTCACTAATCGTTATCACGGAACTCATAAAATGCAGTTTCATGCACTTTATATAGGTTGCCTTATTAATGGTGTGCATATGTACGACACTTGGTTTTCACACTAAACGGCCTTCAAAATACTGTCTTGTTTCTTAAGTGTTCTTTGCAAGGTTTCATTGATTTTGTCTCATAAAAGAAAATCCAGATCATGTCGGACATATGAATAGTACTATTTAGGAAAAAATGTGATTATCAATGGTAAGCTCATACTAATGAATCATTGACCGTTAACTTTGTGGCGATGGAGATGAGTGACTGGATCTGCTCTACAATGGGTCATTTCAGTCAACCACGGATAAACGTCACTTATGTAACTACTGGAAAGTAATTTATTGCCTTGTGTAATTTTCCATAGAAAGTATTTTTCTGATATGAATTTAAAGAACAAATCTATTGGAAAACAACAATGTCCTCTTTACTTAGTGTTACTCTCATCACTACTGCTAATAATCCTATTTAGTTTACTCTCATCATTTATTTGTCAAGTTTATTAGGAATGTAAGTACCGTTGTTTATCCATCCAGATATTCGTTTGTCAGTATAGTTATTTCCCATCTATATTGCGGCAGTGAGTTTTACTTAGCCTTGGTAGCTAGATATGTAATAAATTGCGGCAGTACCGAAGAATGCAAGTTTTGATGAAACCAGCTTATTGTTTTCTGTCAGGCTATCCTCGTAATGTATATCTCAAGCGGCGGATTTTATCTCATTTTGGCATTGGGACTAATCGTTCACTATAATTCAATACATATACCAGGAATCTTGCACAAATGAAGATATTTCAATGGGTTATAGATTTTAAAATTCCAAGTTAAACTTGCTGTACTGACAATGTACTTCTATTTTGGACAAAGTCCATACGGTTAACTGCGTCATTCAGGGTAGAAAAAATATAAACAGATGACTGTCGTAAATTTATTTTACATTGTAGAACAAAGTACATAAGAAGTTGGACATTATGTTAGTGAACGGAGCTTACATATAGTGTCAGTAATTCATAGTATTTACAACACACTTAACATACAATAAGAATATCAATCCAGATATCTGGCAGTCCTCTACTCATTGTAAAATATTCGATGGTGTTCTATTCCTGATACCATTGAGTTATTCATATCACTGTGGCGTCTATTCGAATTGACGAGGAGCATCAGCTTCTTTAAGATTTCAGATACACCTTACTGATGAGTGCCAACCATTAATAACTTTCAAGTCTCTCGGTCTAGTAATGGTAAGACAAAGTGGTTGGTAAAATTTGATTAGGATTTTGAAACAATGGGTGTTACTTTGAATACGAATTATTGCCCTATTATTGTGAGTAAATTATTCTACAGTAATAACTTAACTTTCTAATTTTAATGCAATTATCATGAGACGGTAGAGACGTTTATCACATTACCCACAACAATGCACTGTAGAAGATATTTCTAATTGCTATAAAAGCTGTAAGTTTAAACGAAATGGAACAAGAAGAGATGTAACCTTTCATAGTTCGCGAACACTGTTGGTTGGGTTTTCGTTAGGCCATGCATTCAAAATCCCTATATTTCGTTCTTGTTCATTAAACTAAGTTTGACACTGATAAAATAACTAACTCATCGTTTGTTTAATGAAAATATAATAGTCTTAAATCGGAAAATGCATTTATTATTGGTTTATTGAACACAACATGTTTTGAAGTGCTGTTAGTATATAACGTAATACGCTAACTAGTAATTCACAGAGTTACTCAGTACCTAATCTGTTGGTCGGGACTGGACCAAAACTGAAGACAGAACTAAGTGAACTAGCTCGAATATATTTCATATTGAGATTAGAGCCAAGCGCGTAACCATATAAACGATCATAAGTAAATAATAGGGATATTACAGATTAATGGTCTGTTACAACAAATCAGAAAGTGTTATAAAATGTTTTTTAATATCTAAATAGTTGGGAGATAAGTACCTAAGAGATTCAAGATTCAGGTTTCTAATAATTTGTATAATGTCAAATTTCAGGGTTAACATATCACAGGTTATGGATTCGGTATGTTATTAATAGTTAGACGATCAGGTAGAGATTTTAAATCATACCAGATATAGATCTTAGATTCAGATTGTCATAAAATGAGCTTGAGAGTATTCAAATACATGGATGATAAAAGCAGGTAATAATACTGATTTTATACTTTGCCTCGCAAAACTTTTATTGTCAATATTTTAAATCTAGTGTTTTCAGTAAGCTATACTTCATTTTCAGTCCTATTGTTAAATGTTAGGCATCCAATTAGGCCAGTATTTTCTGATTCTTATATGAATTAGAGGTTAATCACTTTTGTCGGTTTATTATCTGTAGAAACTGAATAGAACTACTGAGAATTGTTGAGATTTATGTTACAATTGAGAAATTTTATGTCTCTGTAGTCAATCTTTTGATGTTAAATGATTGGTCGACGATTATATGTAAAATCAAATTATTAACAACTTCTGAATGGATAGATATCGTCAGAAAATGTAGTCTTTTTATGCCGAGTAAAGTGTAGTGCTTGTGTATAAAATACTAAGCAGTACAAAAATGAATATTATGCATTTAGAGTATGGCCTATCTGTATATAGTGTTATTTCTTAAACTTATCATCAAATATATCACTTCAGATATTCGTGGATTTTCTGTCGTTTTTGACAGTTTTAAGAAAATCGATTGATTTATGAAATCACTAACCATTAATTATCTGTGAGTAAAATATTCACATAACCGGCAACTTAATGTGAGTGTTTGCTATTGTTGACGTAATATCTCACTTCATATCCTAAATGACATTCTTTTTCGAGGTTTACTCATCTTACTCTGTTAGTTTATTCAACTTTATTGTAGTTATTACATAACTTTGACATTGAATTTTATTCTTGAGAAATGTGTTTGAAAATTTCTCTCCTGGAATTTTCATCCACTTTGACCACAGAATTACACCATAACTAATGTTGTTATTCTACTAAATTTTTTTAATATAATACAAGTTATGTGCGTTAGTTATAAGTAATTTACATTATTGTTGTTGGATTGTAAGTAGCTGACAAGAATCCACGTCATAAATGGATTCACCTTATTCTGCTGCACTAGTTTTTGCTTTGGTCAAATTTGTGTTATTAATACCTATACTATTCTGAGATTAACTCTGGAAATTTCATCTCACTTTGCTAATGGCGTATGGCAAATTGAACTGATGCACATATGTCCCAGTTTCTACGTTACGTTTCACTGACTGACTAACAAATAGGTCAGAAACTATCGAAATGCCGTAGGAAATCTAAGTTTCACAATAAAAGTGCACAAAGATAATTACTGAAGAAAATAACTGTTACATCAACTGATTTTCAGAAATATACAATTGTTTTAATTAAGCTACTGTTCATAGCTTATTGAGAAAAGTATGTCTTTAATTTTATTTTATCTACAGATAATCAAATATTTCCTGTATTACTGTCAAACCACTGTTCATACAAAACTATATTCAAAATTAGTAGAACTGAATCTCTAGTGATTTATCGATTTCTGAAACCTAAATCAATATGATTAGTGTATAGTCGTTTAGATAAGGAACTAAGCAATAGCGAACGATATGATATGAGTAACCTCCACAAAAAAACAGATACATAATTCATAGTAAGATATTAAAGAGGAAGAATG